CCTCCTGCACGCCCCCTACTGGAGATCAAGCCCGAAACCTGCGCATGTGCCCTTGACCCGGATGGAACCTGAGACTGACCCTCTCCACTGAGCCAAACCCATTAGGGCTCCAAGCCCATTCTTAAACCCCCCGACTTCCCTCTCCAGCAGGAACCTTGACACACCCTCTCCCCACAAGTCTCTCAGACTTGAGGGTTTCCACACGGCCCTCTCCTTTCTGTGTCTCACCTGGCTTTTCTCCCTCCCTCTCTCTCTCACCTTTTGCTCCTCTTGCCTCATCCCCATGACTATCTCCAGCTCTTCTTTTCCTCTCCTCCACGTCTGCCCCTGGCTCTCAGGGTGCCACCTGTGAAAAAGGAAGTTAATGTGTTTTGGGGGGTCCTGCAAAGGCATAATCACCCTTCCAGGTCACTCTCACGCTTATCCTATTGTACAGAGGAGAAAACGGAGGTGAAGAAGCATAGTTAACATACAAGCCCAGAATAAATGACTTGGGGGGCGTGTAGAGGGGGGAGAACAAGCCCAAGACCACACAGTTGGGAAGTGCCAAGGCCTGGGTCCACGCCAAGCTTATGGGCAGACTACTAGTAGGGGAGAGGGCCTCACTTGGCACCTCAACCCTCCCCATCTCCCTCCGGAAGATTCTTCAGGACTCTGTGTTTCTGTGGTGTCCATGCCCAGGTCCTAGCCCTTCCTCTTCCTCACTGGGCTCTCCTGCATCAGCTGCTGCGTTCTTCCCCGCCCCGCCCGCCCCTCCTCAAACGCTGCGAAGCCCTTAGCAGGTCCTCAAGGCGGCCACCACGCCATCATCTTCCTCTCCTCCGCCAGCTCAGGCCTGTCCTGTGGGGAACCCGCTCGGCGCCGCGGGAAAGACCCGGAGCCGGCATTTCCTCGAAGCGAGTCCAGAGAGAAGCAAACCGGGCCCCGTGGGGGGCCGCGGGCCGGGCGGGAATCCCGGCCCTAACCACTGGGGGCCCTGGCGGGGGAGGGGAGGGAGGGCGGGAGCTGGCTCTGCGGCGGCATCTGTCCCCGGCTGGCGGGAAGCTGCTGCATTAAATTGTAAAATCGATTTATTGACCGGCAGGTGCGAGCGGCGGCAGATGGGGAGTAGCGCTGCCGGGGCGCATCTGCGGGGAGCGGCGGCATCGATCCCGGCCCCTCCGAAACCCGTTGGCCTCGCTCTTTTCTCCTTGGCAGGCTCCCATTCGCGGGACCAAGGTCCGCGGAGCCGCGGCGCCTAAGTGTCTAGGGTGGCTCGGCTCCGTACCCTCCCCGCCTCCCGCCCGGGGGCCCGGGCTGCACCCCGCGGCCGCCGGCCCTGCCAGCCCCACTGCCCCAGTTGGCACGCGGGGCCGGGCTGACGCGTGGCAGCGCCCGGCAGCAGATGAGGCACGCGCCGGCCTCATTTCAATGTGAATGGAGCGAATGGAGCAGCCATGTGGCAGCAACAGTTTGCAAATCTCCCCGCCTTCTGTGCTGCTCCCCCAGCCGCCGCTCCCTGCACGTGGCCCCTGCTCGGCGGCGACCGCAGAGGCACTCCTGGGGCTTAAGTGCCCCCCCCAAACCAGGCCTGCTCCCCGCCTCCGCACCCCCTGCTCTCCTACCTGTGCTGTTTGCCCTGCGGAGACCACCGTCCCAGGGCTGGGGGGTGGGAGTGGGGGCTGGGGAGTGGGATGGGCTGCCCAGTGGGGAGGGACCCTTGTCGCACCCCAGTAACCCGGGGTCAGTCTGAGGGCAGGGCTGGAAGATAACCTTGGAGCTTCAAGCCAGGGGGTGCGGGTGCTGCCTGCTGGGGGCTTTGTGCAGCTGGCAGGCAGGGAGGGCTGCAGAAGCCCCCCCCCCCCCCCCCCCCCCCCGCCCCAGGAGGCTGTGGAGTCTTGAATGAAGCTGGCCTGCACCGGGCTCCGGCTCAGGATTCCAAATACCCTGGCGGGTGAGGTTAGGGTGAGGAACTGAAGCCCCAGCCGCTGGCGGAGGTCGGTGGGGCCATAGTCTGTCTACCTACTGGCAGGGTCAGAAGACATCCTGGGTCCAACCCCACTGAGACGTCCGGCCTCCCATCACCTCACAGCCTCCTGTTCCTGGGACCCTCCAGGACTCACTCCTGTCCACACGTTGGGAGTGGGAGAAAAGGGGGGAGAGGTCCAGATGTGGAGGCTTCAAATTTCGGTTTCCTGCCCCCCCCCCCCCCCAGTCTGCGCCTCCTGCTCAGCAAAAGTGAGCAAAGCTTGCCCGGCCAGTGTTGCTCAGTAGTTGTGCTTCAGCCTACAAACCAGATCACAATTCGATTTTGGTTAGGGCATATACCTGGGCTGCCGGCTCAATCCTCTGTAAGGGGCGTGCAGAAGGCAGCTGATCAATGATTCTCATCCATGTTTCTATCCCCCCCTCCCTTCCTCTCTGAAATTAATAAAAATATACTTAATAAAAAAAGTGGGCAAAGCTGGAGCTGAAGTGGGTGCCAGAGCGGGCGGCAGAGTCCCGGTGGGATAATTCATCTCAAACAGGTGCTTCATAATCGGTGGTGATGTCTTCCCTCCTCAGGTGAGAGGGTCTCTGCGTCTCCTGCCTCAGAGGAAAATGGTGATGCTTTTGTTTGGTCTTTGTGTGCCAAGGGCTTCTGGACATGTTAGTCCGGTGTGTATGAGGAGAGTGTTTCAGATCTACCAGGTTCTAAGCACACCCTGTGGGGCTGGAGTCGCCTTTGACAGTCAGGCAAATGCCAGCGCCAGAGAAGAGCAGAGCCTTCCTGAGTCCCCAGGCCAGGCCTTAGGGTAAGGGGACAAGAAGCAGGTGGGGCTTCCTGGGTAGGTCTAGGGACCCACCGAGTGTGGCAGAGAGAAGATGGAAACCCCACTTGGCGGGTTGGCTGGGAGGCATGCCCTGGGCCCCCCCTCCCCGGGGCCCGGGGCCTCCGCCTGCCCATAACCTACATTAACTCTGGAGCGCAGCCTGGGCCCATCTGCCGGCCCCCGCCCCACCGCGGCTCCCCACGCCAAACCCCTCGCGCCAGATGGTGGCTGGGAGGGGTGGCCGTGCGTGGGGGACCCCGGAGCCCGGCTCTTCACCTCGCCCCTCCCCCAGCCCACGCTCTCAGCCTCTTGTTTCTCTCACCCTCCACCTCCCCGTCCTTCACCACCACCCCGCGTCAAAGGATCAGACCGTGCTGGGCACAGGCAGCTGTTGGGCTCCATTCCGAGCCCCCCTCAGCCTCTCCCGGGCCCGCACCGCGTCCCTGCTCCCCCCGCCCCGATCTTATCGCCCGACGACAGCCATCGCCGTTCCGGAGGGCTGACAGCTGAAGCCACTGGGGTCCTCCCCCCGTCCCGCCGCCCTCAGCGTAGGGGGGAAGGGAGAGAGAGAAAGAGAGAGGGGGGGAGAGAGAGAAAGAGCGAGAGAGGGCTCTCCTGCACCCCCCGCATTCCCCCCGTCTCATTGGGAGAAGCCGGCCTTCCCCGAGCTCAGGCCCCCGGGGATCACGCAAGGTTCCGGGAAAGCAGCTGCACCGCCGCCGCCGGAGAAGTGGGGCCGCCGGGGAGACTCCCGAAACTAAACCCTGGAGTCCGAGGGCTTCCAGCTCCCCTCCACCTCTCCGCCGAGGAGGAGAGGGCCGGGTTGGCCCGGCCGCAGCCCTTCACCTGGACTTGAATCCGCTCCGGAGCCGGGAGAGTTCCTCTCTGCACCGGCGGAGCGTCGGGACGCGGGAGGGCCGGCGGGGGGGGCGGGGGGCGCCGGGCAGAGCGGGGCCAGGTGATGGAGGGGGCGTGGCCAGGCTCATTAGCATACAGCTGACGCCCGCCGCGCCCACCTCTGGGCCACGCCCCCTCCCCCGCGGGGACCGCGCGCCTTCGGGCTGGCACGCGCCGCGGGCGGGGGAGGAGGGGGACAGAAGGGGACAGGCACGCGCTGCACACGCCCCCCGCCCCCACCCCGCCCCACCCCCCGCCACGAGGGAGGGAGACACCCACCAGGTGGACGGAGGGAGGGCGCAGAGCCTCGGACGCTTGGCCTCTCTCCAGGCGGCGAGCGGCCACCGGGAGGGTCCGAGCTCCCGCTGGCTTCCCTGCTGCGCCCGGGCGGCGCGGTGGGTGGGCGCTCGCGGGAGGCGGCGGGGGGGGGGCGGGGAGGCCCGGTCAGGCACGGGCTCCAGAAGCTCCCTGAAGAAGCAGGAAACCGGAGTCCTGTAGCTCTGGTTTCGCTTTCCCGACATAAGTTCTCTTTACCTGCAGCAGGTGACTAGCGCGGGCTGCGGGCGCCGTGCACCCGAGGACTCTCCCCCGTGTCTCCGCCCCCACTCCCGTCCCGGAATCGCCCGCTCCGCTCCCGTCCCGTTCACCCCGGCCCTCGTCTCATCCACCCCGGCCCTCCTCCCATCCACCCCGGCCCTCCTCCCACTCTCCCCCTGCCCGGGCTCCGCGCTGAGCTCCGCGGCGGCGGAGGCCGGTCTCCCGGCACGCGCGGAGCTGGGGGACCCAGGGGCTGCGAGCCGCGCGGATGGGCGGGGACCTGAGCCTGAGTGGCTGGCGGGGAGGGGGAACGGCGGGGGCGGAGGCCCCCTCCCGGCGGCGCTGAGGCTGTAGCGGCGAGAGGCCGGGAGGGGAGGGGAGAGTGACAGGCAGCGAGGAGAGGAGCCAATGTATATAAGGAAGGCTCCCGGGCGCGCAGGTTTCAGTAGCGGCGCTGAGCGCGGCTGGGATCCCGAGGCCGGGAGCGGCAGCAGCTCCCTCCGCCTCCGTGCAGCGCGCCCGGGCACCCGCCGGCCTGCAGCCCCGGGATCAGCCGGAGGACACCTCCTCAGCGCGGCCGCCGCCCCGCCGCCCTCACCTGGATTACCTCCCGCGGCGATCTGAGCGGACCTAGCGGGGAGCCGCGGCGGGAGGGAGCCTCGGAGCGGAGCCTGGCTTCTCAGAGACTCCTCCGCGGGGGGACGTACGGGGAGGCGGCGTCCCGGACCGAGCCAGCTTCAGGGCGGGCGGGCGGAGAGAGCGACGCCCCGGGGAATGGCAGCCGCCTCCAGTAGCGCGTCTGGCTGGGCGCTACTGTTGCTGGTGGCACTTTGTCCGCAGGTAACGTCCCGCGCCCCCTCCGCCCCCTCCCGCCGCGCTCCGCGTCCGCCGAGCTGACGCCCCCTCCCCGGTCCCTGTGCGCAGCGCGCGGCCGGCTCCGGCGTCTTCCAGCTGCAGCTGCAGGAGTTCTCCAACCAGCGCGGCGTGCTGGCCAGCGGGCTGCCCTGCGAGCCCGGCTGCCGCACCTTCTTCCGCGTCTGCCTCAAGCACTTCCAAGCCGTCGTCTCGCCGGGGCCTTGCACCTTCGGCAGCGTCTCCACACCCGTGCTGGGCACCAACTCCTTCGTGGTCGGGGACGACAGCAGCGGCGGCGGACGCAACCCTCTCCAGTTGCCTTTCAACTTCACCTGGCCGGTGAGCACAGCCTGGGCGCGCTGGGAGGTCCCGAAAACCCAGAGAAGCGGGGTGGGGGGTGGGGTGGGGGGGATCCCTAGTACCAAAGCCTTCTCCCCAGATGTCCTTGCTCTCCTACAAAACAAAACCAGGGGCATTCTCTTCTGATCCTTTCTTCCGACTCCCCCCCCCCCCCCCGCCCCCCATCCTTGGAAAGGCTCTCCCCAGTCTCCCTTCCCCACTTCTCCGCCCTCTCTCCGCCCAGTTCTTGGGATGCGGTTGCTATCACCCCCGTGCGCCCCCCGCCTCCAAAAGGTCCTCGTGTGCATTCCCCCATCCTGCAGCCCTCCTCCCGCCCGGGGCGCTCCTCTCGCCTTTCGTGCTCGCGCGCGAGGCGGTGCGCAGACCCGTTGGGTTGACCCGGGCGCGGTAACTGTATCCTGCAATTAAATTAATTAAACCGGCAGCAGCCACCAGGCACCCCACCACCCCCGTGCTCATCTCGCTATCTCTCTGTCTGCCTCTCCCCCTCCCCCTCCTCCCGGCTTCCCAGGGCACCTTCTCGCTCATCATCGAGGCTTGGCACGCGCCCGGAGAGGACCTGGGGCCAGGTGAGTAGCTCGCTCCGCCGCCACTGGGGGGCGACACGGCGCAGCGCCGAAAGGGTTAACGGGCCCGGCCAGGCAGGGGAAGTGCGGGGCGAGGGGGCGGGGGGCCGGACGCTGAGCTCGGCCGGGAGCTGCGCCCCGCGCTGGCCGCTCGGATTCCGCCCGCTGCCTGGACTCCGAGCACAATTGCGCTTCCTGCGGGTTATTTTTGGCGTGGGAACGCGGGGAGCACGGCGGTGAGAAAGGCCGAGGCTGCCAGCGCCGCTGACGGGCCCCTTCCTGTATTTTACACCTTTCGCGAATTCCGCTCCTTTGGAAAGGGAATAATGGCTTTGGGATGTTGTTCTGACACAGAGGAAAGGGATATTTCAGCAGCACAACAATTCTCACTTTGAAAAGGAAAAAGAAAAGCATTACCCATCTCTGAGGGCAGGACCCCTGCATGGGCACCCGGGGACCCCCTGCTCCCAGGGTCCTCTCTTACAGAGCTTTTCTTTCTTTCTGATTTTTTTTTTTAATTTTCCATTTTAACCTCTTTTCCTCTTTCCCCTGCCTATCTGCTTCCAGAACACTAGGATATCTTAACATCCTTCTATTGTCCCCCTTTTGTTTTTTTTTTTTTAAGTATTTTTTATTGATTTCAGAAGAGGAAGCGAGAGGGAGAGAGAGATAGAAACATCAATGAGGAGAGAGAATCATTGATGGGCTGCCTCCTGCACGCCCCGTACTGGGGATCAAGCCCTCAACTCGTGCAGGTGCCCTTGGCTGGAATTGAACCCGGGACCCTTCAGTCTGCAGGTTGTTCTCTGCCCACCCAGCCAGACTGGCTAGGGCTCTTGTCCCCCTTTTGAGTAGTATCAGGCCCCCTGCCCATGCACACACACAGGGCAGCTAAGGAGAGGGACCTTTGGGTTCCTTTGGACTGTGCTTGCTGGCAGGTGGGGGTCATCTGGACAACGGGTTTGAACCAGCAGCTGCTGGCACCCGTGGGGACAGGCTGCCCTTCCTTGACCTGGCCCTCTGCCCCTTCAGAGGCCATGCCACCAAACGCGCTCATCAGCAAGATCACCATCCAGGGCTCCCTCGCGGTGGGCCAGAACTGGTTACTGGATGAGCAGACCGACCCTCTCCCGACAAGGCTGCGCTACTCTTACCGCGTCATCTGCAGCGACAACTACTACGGGGACAGCTGCTCACGCCTGTGCAAGAAGCGCAATGACCATTTCGGCCACTACGTGTGCCAGCCAGATGGCAGCCTGGCCTGTCTGCCGGGCTGGACTGGGGAGTACTGCGAACAGCGTAAGCAGCCAAGTTCTCTGCCGCTTGCCTGGGGGGTGGGGGGGCTGAGCAAAAAAAAACAGACCAAAGGGTGTCTGCTCCTCACTGGCTGGGCCTCGGGAACAGCTGGGGGTGCCTAGGACAGTCTGAGAGCCCCTCCCGTGGTGCCAAAGCCTGTAAGGATCCTATTGGTGCATCGCATCCAGCCTGGCCTCTCCTTCCCTGTGCCACCGGTTCCTTTTCAGACACCGATGGGCCCTCTGAGAGGCCAGGAGTGGGCGTGAATCCAGGAGAGCTGGGGGCACCCCAAGGCCAGGATAGGGGGAGAGGGCGTCAGAGGTGTTGGCGTCCCACCCTCACCCAGCGCTGTTCTCTTTCCTCAGCCGTCTGCCTTTCTGGCTGCCATGAACAGAACGGCTACTGCAGCAAGCCGGGGGAGTGCACGTGAGTAGGGGACAGGAAGTGGGCCAGGGACATCCCTGGGCCAGGCCGTCAGCTCACCTCAGCTTTCCTTTTGTTTCACAGCTGCCGCCCGGGCTGGCAGGGCCGACTGTGCACCGAATGCATCCCCCACCACGGCTGCAGCCACGGCACTTGCACCACCCCCTGGCAATGCACCTGTGAGGAGGGCTGGGGCGGCCTGTTCTGTGACCAGGGTGAGTGGGGGCAAAGAGAGGGTGCAGAGGGGGTGGGAGAGATGGGCAAGGAGGGGAACAGAGGTATCACCTGGGCCCTTCTTACGGGGCGACCGCCGAGCTGGCTTTCCCTTATCCTTCCGGGAGCTTGGGGCACCAGCCTAGAATAAGATGGGGTGCCTCTCGTCCGCTGCTGAGGAGGCAGGGTGGCTGGAGAAGCCAAGAGGGTGACAGCTGATGGCGTGGAGGTTGCACTCACACATCCTAGTCAGACCATGCCTGGCGGGTGTGGCTCAGGTGGGTGAGCGTGGTCCCAAGCGCAAGAGGTCAAAGTCAGGGCACATGTGCGGTTGTGGACTCGCTCCCCAGGACGGGGCCGTTCAGGAGGCAGACCATCCACGTTCCTCTTTCATGGAGGTTTCTGTTTCCCTCCGTCTCCTTTCCTTTCTCTCTCAAATCAACAAAAACATTTTTTAAAAAAAATTCTAGTAAGGCCAGATAGAGAGAGGGATGCTGGACTTAGTTCCTCCTTCGACCTCAGTTACCTATTAACCCCCTAAGTGTTTGCTTACCTGCCGGGGCTGTTTGAGCAGTTCTCCCCTCCACAGCTGTCTGGTGAGGTGTGCCCACCAGCTGCCTGAGGCCGTGTGAGCGGCCCCTGGGTGGAGTGGCATCTAACTGACTTTGCAGTGTGGGCAGGAACAGTCCCCTTGTTCATCCTCAGTTGCACTTGCCAGGCAGCTGCCCGAGCCCACACTGCCTCTTCCCGGAGTTTGGCGGGTCCGGCCGCTCCTCGGGCCGCGCTGGGGTCTGCCAGCTCCAACTATGGAGGAGGGATCCTTTATCTCTTTCATCCTGGGAGCCAGCTGCAGCATGTGCCTCCCGTTTTCAGGGGCAAACGGGGTGGCTGCTGCCATGGAAACACCAGCACAAGTCTGGGTAGGGTGGGCAGAGGGCTTGCCAGGAAAGAATTTGCCCAGGCCCTGCCTCGCTGGCAGCAAGAGCTCAGAATTCAGCCCCTGTATTCTTTGTGGGCGTATTGCTTTCTACCCCTCCCCGCAAACACACACACACACACACACACACACACACACAAGCGTGTTCTCTCTCCTCTGCCCACATTTGCTCACAGGTGACAGTCATCACATGCAAATACAGCCCTCACAGTCCCAATATTTGTTCTGTCTGGTTCTCCCTCCCTGTCCTTCCCAAATAGGAAAACAAACACTTACATTTCAAAATACCCTCCTAATGAATTCCCCTTTAAGAAAAGTGTCGTCACCGGTGGCTCTCTACCATCTCCACCTGTTCAAGTGGCTTCTCGCAGCTTCCCCTCCTCCACGAAGCCTGTTCTGCCTTCCTCCTAAACATGTGGCTGTGCCGCCCACTCCTCTCCCTCGCCTACCTTCTACCCTGCCTGCCGGGGTCTGTGAGCTCACCTGGCAGGCAGCTGTCACCGGTGTTTTTCAACGTTGACTGGTTGCACTGGCCACGTATGCGTCCAGGTGCTTCAATACAGGACTCATTCGGGGAGGAGGAAGGGTGCTGGGGCCCCGAACGCTGATCGGGGCCTCTGGGCTGAACACAGGCAGTGAACGTACACTGCAAGCAGCCCGCAGGTGGGGATGACTCCCTGGCTCTGCTCAGCTGGCCGGCTCCTGTCCCTGCAGATCTCAACTACTGCACCCACCACTCCCCGTGCAAGAACGGGGCCACCTGCTCTAACAGTGGGCAGCGCAGCTACACCTGCACCTGCCGCCCCGGCTACACCGGCGTGGACTGTGAGCTGAGGCTCAGCGAGTGTGACGGCAACCCCTGTCGCAATGGAGGCAGCTGCAAGGTGAGGCCCAGGCTGGCGCGGGGTGTCTGCCCGGGTGGTTCCCGTGCCTTCTCCCTCCAGGCGGCCGCAGGCAGGCCCTGGGGGCGAACCCCCGGCCGCACACTCCTGCCCCAGGGCCTGACCTCGGCCCTTTTTCCCCGGCGTCTCTGCAGGACCAGGAGGACGGCTACCACTGCCTGTGTCCCCCGGGCTACTACGGCGCACACTGTGAGACCAGCAGCTTGAGCTGCGCCAACTCCCCGTGCTTCAATGGGGGCTCCTGCCGGGAGCGCAGCCAGGGCACCAGCTACGCCTGCGAGTGCCCTCCTGACTTCACGGGCTCCAACTGCGAGAAGAAAGTGGACAGGTGTACCAGCAACCCGTGTGCCAACGGTGCGTCCTGCTGTCTTGCTGACCCGCCCTGGGGACCAGAGAGCCTTCTGGCGAGGAAGAGTCAGGAGAGGAGAGAGGCCTTGTCTGTCACCCCGGCAGGCTGACCTGGGTCCCCTTCTGCTCTGGGAGGTGGCGAGCTTGCTGGGTCGGCTGGGTGGCTTTGGAAGAGGAGCCCGTCAGCAGTGGGTGCGGGCGGGCCTTGGGGGAAGGAGCGGTGTATACATCCTGAGTGGCTTCTATTCCTATTCCCATCGGAGCCCTGTCCCTGCTGGGGTGGCCTCTCCCCCCTCAGGAAGCCCCGGGCTAGAGAAAGGGACGTTGGAGGCCGCCTGTCCTCCCCCGGGAGGCTGGTGAGGCTGGGCCCTGCTGCTGAAGCCCTTGCATGGCCGCATGGCCGATCGAGCCTGGGGTGGCACAAGGCTCCTGGAACGGTCAGCATCTGTGGGGATGCAAAGCATGCTGGGTATCTGTCTCCTTGGCCTCCCGGTGACTTTGCTGAGGCCGGTGGACGCACTGTGCCTGGGGAAGCCCCGGGAGCTGGAAAGGAGCTGGGAGGGCTGAGATGGCGCCTGCTGTCCGGCTAGTCACTCAGCGAATCCCTGGAGCCACGGTTTCTCCGTCACTGGATGGGAAATATAATGCCTGGCCTCTGCCTTTCGTGGCTGTGAGGATTAGATGAAACAATGACACTTACATTTGTTGGAACACTTGCTATGCACCAGGCATGGGCTCCTGCCCTCGGGCATCATCCCCCCTAACCCTCAGGGGTCTCCCGTGGAGGGGACAGCATTGTACTCCAGTTTAACACAAGGAAACCGAGGCTTAGGAAAAGGTAAAGCAGCAGGTGCCAGGTCCACAGCTGGAGACAGCTAAGATTCAGGCCCGCGCTCATCTGGCCGATGCTTCCGTAAAGCTCCGGGGGATGCTAGTGATGTTTATACCCGCGCCCACGAAGGCGCAGCAGCCAGGGCCCCTCCGCCCCAGGGCTCAGACTCTCCGTGCAGGGTCCCTCGGCACAGGAGCTGTGACCTGGGGCAGGAGGACCCGAGCTGGCTTGCTCGCTCCCGGGCAGAGCTCTCACCCTCTGCACCAGCGGGGCTCGCAAGCGGCCGATCGCTGACCTATATGCCCTGTGTGTGCCCACAGGGGGCCAGTGCCTGAACCGAGACCTGGCCCGCCTGTGCCGCTGCCGCCCCGGGTTCACGGGCACCCACTGCGAGCTCCGCATCAGCGACTGCGCCCGCAGCCCCTGTGCCCACGGCGGCACCTGCCACGACCTGAAGCACGGGCCGGTGTGCGCCTGCCCCGCGGGCTTCTCCGGCCGGCTGTGCGAGGTGCCTGCGCCCGGCGCCCACGCCTGCGCCTCGGGGCCCTGCCTCCACGGGGCCACCTGCTACCCCGGCCGCACCCCCGACAGCTTCGTCTGCAACTGTGCCTACGGCTTCGCGGGCGGCCGCTGCGAGTTCCCTGTGAGCATGCCACCCAGCTTCCCCTGGGTGGCTGTCTCCCTGGGCGTGGGGCTGGTGGTGGTGCTGGTGCTGCTGGGCATGGTGGCGGTGGCCGTGCGGCAGCTGCGGCTCCGGCGGCCGGACGGCGGTGGCAGGGAGGCCATGAACAACGTGTCGGACTTCCAGAAGGACAACCTGATCCCCGCCGCCCAGCTCAAGAACACAAACCAGAAGAAGGAGCTGGAAGTAGACTGTGGCCTGGACAAGTCCAACTGTGGCAAACAGCAGAACCACACCTTGGACTATAATCTGGCCCCAGGAGCCCTGGGGCGGGGGACGCTGCTGGGGAAGTATCCCCACGGCGACAAGAGCTTAGGGGAGAAGGCGCCCCTGCGGTTACACAGGTGAGAGCCCTGCAGGCCGGGGCCTGGCCACGGAGCCCCGAGGGTCCCGCTGGGCTCCCTCAGGCACCAGGCCTCTGATGGCTCTTGAGCAAATGGGGTTTTGCTACTGATTTTCCAACAAAAGTTCCGCCAGGGGTCTTTGTCCCTCTCTCTCATGCATGCATGCATTCATTCATTCACAAGGTCAGGTGCCCACACTGTGTCTCTTGGGACTTCCGGCTTCCTGTCTCGGCTTGCCTCTAGCGGCAATGCTGGCCTTCGCCAGGCCTGGACCCTCGGATAGGATTGGGGTCCCGTGGCTCCTTAGGGGCCTGTTCCTACCTGCCCCCCGGCTAATGTTGGGCTGGGTCTTCTTCTCCCAGAGCCACTCCTGCCAGTGCCCTTTGGCTCTCCAGGGTCTGGGTTAGTGCCCCCCTCCCCCCACCCGCCCTCTCCCCATACCTCCCTCAGCGACCTGTCTTGTGTTCCCTCAGTGAAAAGCCGGAGTGTCGGATATCAGCGATATGCTCCCCCAGGGACTCCATGTATCAGTCCGTGTGTTTGATATCAGAGGAGAGGAACGAATGTGTCATTGCCACCGAGGTGAGTGCTGGGCTCGCCTGCCCCTCCTGCCTGGCTCTGCCTGCCTTTCGGGGCTGGGACAGTGGCCTGGGCACTCTTGACCTCGGGGGCCCGTCTGGGCGGGTCCGGACCCTTCCTTGGCAGGCCAGGCTCGGTGGCTCTTGGGTCCCTGCTCGTCCCCTTGCAACAGCGGGTGTGAAACGGGAGCTGTACCGGTGAGCCCTGCCGGGCTCTTCCCGCTGAGTGCGCGGGGCCGGGCGGCCGTGGCACCCGGCCAGCTCCCGGGCGCTGCTTCCCAGCTGCCGGCGGGTGAGGGTGGCTGCCTTGTGCCTCCTGCCCCCTCTCCCTGGCCTCCTCCATTGGCCCACTTATGAGCACAGGCTCCCAGGCATGTGCCTGTGCTGGGACAGGAGATCAGGGGGGCCTGCCCTAACTCCCCTTCACCCCATCTGCCCAGGGCGGCCACGGAGGGAGGGCTTTGTGCGCCAGGTAACCCACGCTCCCACCCTCCCCGTGCTCCCCAGGTATAAGGAGAAGCCTCCCAGGACATCCCAGCTTCGCCCAGCGGCTGGACCTTCCTTCTGCATTGTTTACATTGCATCCTGGATGGGACATTTTTAATATGCAACGTGCTGCTCTCAGGAGGAAGACGGAATGGCATGAACTGGACAGACTGTGCACTTGGCCAAGAGATGCAGTACCTTCCGCACCGTTGGGTGTCTGTCTGGCATCCGATTGGCAGCCGCACAGCCAGGGGAACAGAGAGGAGGAGGGGTGCCACGTGGGTCCGCCCTGCCAGCCGCGGCCTCAGAGGGCGCCTTTGGAGTCCGGCCTGTGTTCCAGGGCGAGTGGCAGTGGTCCCGCAGGGCCCGGAGCCGCCGCGGCCCCGCTGGCATCTGTGTTTCCAAAAGTGCCTTTGGCTCAGGCTCCGTGGTGACAGCTGGGTCCGGATCAGAGAGGAGAGAGGAGGCCGGTCAGGGCAGGGACGCGTGGGCCAGGAAACCACCAGGTGTGGCTGTTGGCAGGGGTTGCCCTGCAGGTGAGGTGAGCACCCAAAGTGGGAGGAGCACTTTCTGCCCACGTGCCTCCAGCTACTGCGTCTGGGCCTTCTTCAAAACACCACCCAGCCCCTCCCTCCCTGGGCCAGGCCCACTGGGCACGAACGCGGGTAAGCCCTACCTGGCTTCTACAGCCTCTGGCTTTGGGTGCCTCTGGGCTCCTGTGAGAGACAGGTGGAGGGCCAGCCAGGGGTGCCAGGCCCAACGAGGGAGCTCAGGGCGGTGATGTTGGAAATGCCAGGAGGGAGAAATCGGGCTGTCGTCACCCAGGCCCTTTCCTCCCTCAGGCCCATTCCCATGGCCTGGAGTCTGAGCTCTCCCCATGCCCACTACTGCCCCTAGTGGATCTTCAGAAATCAATAATATGAGTTTTTATTTTGTTTGTTTTTTTTTTTTGTAGTTTATTTTGGAGTCTAGTATTTCGATAATTTAAGAACCAGAAGCACTGACATTTCTACATTTTATAACATTATTTTGTATATAATGTGTATTTATAATATGGAACAGATGTGTATAGGAGTTTATTACTTCTCGGGTCCTGTCTTTGTGATGGCCGAGTGGGAATCCTGTCCCCAGCCTCTCTGACTCCCCTCCCCATACTGCGGCCAGTGGTATACACTCAGAGTGTCCCCGGAGCCCTCTGCATACACTGGGGCCTGGCCCGCCATGCTCCAGGCTCTGCTCCCCTCCCAGGCCTCAGGAAGCCTGGCCTCGTCCATCCAGTCCCCAGCCTCGGCCGCCTTCCCTGCCTGGCGGCTGAAGGCCGTCTGTGGCTCCCCGTCCTTCTTGTGCTCCCAGCCCTCCTCGGGGGATGTGCCCTCTGACCTAAATCTGTCCCCCTCTTCTCTCAAGTCTGAAAGAGCTCATGGGCTCCAAAGTCGGCCTGGGGGACACAGACGTTTGGGGCAAGAGGACAGCCCTGCCTGTTTCCCTCCTTTTGAAAGGATTCTGTGGTTGGGGAATGGAGTCTCTGAACCACAGAGAATCTGGGTCCTTCTTCCTGCCGAGGCGGGGTTTTAGGTGGACTGGCACCCCGCTCTTTCTTTCCGCCCCAGCCGGGCACTGGTCTTGGGGGAGGGGAGCTTTGCCTTGGCCTGTCCTCCTTGCAGCTGGACAAGAGCTGAGTCTGGGCACCTGGGCAGCAGGGAGGGGAGGAGGAGGGAGGGTTTCTTCCCGAGTCCAGGTTTCTCTGGCTGAGACACTAATGAGGGAACTGCCAGTCTCAGTTTTATGCCTAGTTTCCTCTAAGGCGCAGAACGGTCCTAGGCTGCCACAGTCCTCTTTTTACAGCCACAGACATACCCCATGGAGAGCAAATGATGGGGGGGGGGGCGTGGGGGGCGGGGAGAGAGCCATTGACCAAAAGCTGAGCAGATGCTCCCAGTGCTCAGCCTGTCCACAGGAAGGCAGAACAGACCCTCCAGAAGCTCCTAGTGGAGTCCCCGAGTATGCAGTGCTATTTGCCTCCCTTTTCCTCTTCCCCCTGCCACACACACAGCTTGCCTGCCCCTAATCTGGGTGCCTACGCCAGAGCCCAGGGAGCCAGAGACGGGGGCTCATCCCTCTCCCAGCACACACAGGCTCCACGCCTCCCTCGCTGGTCCCTGTTCCCTGGTTGCACACACAGGGTATCAAACAGGAAAGCATTCAGGGAACCGTTCCCACAGCCCGAGCCGGCAGCGGGGGAAGAACAACACGACCTCACTCTTCCTGCCCAAAATGAAACAGGAAAGCGGCTCCCGGACCCTGGGGGGCGGGGGAAACTGGGCTGGGACACGCAGGCCAGATGACGAGGCTCCCATGTGGGGGACAGGTAGGACACCCGCAGGCCTGCACGTCCACACCGCGCAGCCGTGCGGGGCTGCACGGGCTGCCAGCGCCTCCGAGGGCCCTGGAGAGGCGCTGGCCCACTGACCCCTCTCCGGCCCTGCTACCCTACACCCGTCGTCGGCAAACTCATTCGTCAACAGCACAACGACTGAAATTTCTTTTGAGAGTCACATTTTTTACACTTAAACTTCTTCGAACGCCGCTTCTTCAACACAGACTCGCCCAGGCCGTGGTGTTTTGTGGAAGAGCCACACTCAAGGGGCCAAAGAGCCGCACGTGGCTCGCGAGCTGCAGTTTGTCGACCACGGCCCTAGACAGAGATGGGAGAGCCCACCACAGCAGCTTCCTGGGGAAAGCGGTCTGGGCCGCTCCAGTCTCTGCCTCTGTGGACATGGCAGGAGCTGGGCCAGGCCTTTGGGGTGTGAACAGACCTCAGTGGAAGCCCCTTTCTCCCCAGGATTCCCAAGTCCCTTCCTGGGGGTCCAGCCCCTTCTCCTAGGTAAGGCCCCAAAGACCCTCCTGATGGAGTGTCCAGGGGCACAGGAGGGGTCCCGGGCTTGGCAGAAGCAAGGCCAGGTGACGGCTCTAGGCTCACGGTGGAGTACACGCTGGGTTTAGCAGATGCCCATGTGTAACCAGCACGGGTGTTTCACAAGAGAATCCAGAGCGCAGCAGTTCCTTAACAGCCTGGAGGCGGGCAGCCCTGCCCACAGGATAAGTCTGACCCCACAGTGACCTCCAGCTCTGAGGACAGCTGCTTTTCCAGGGCCAGTGGTTGGGAAACACCTGGATATCACTGCAGGGAGGTGAGTCAGGGAGACGCTATGCAGAAGAAAGAATGAATGCCTTTATCCTGCTTGCTCAGCCGCGGTGCCCTCTGCTGCCACAGGGCCTCCGTCAGACCGGTCAGACCTCCCCCCATTCCAGCTAAAGGAAGCCAGTGGAGTAAAGTAGGGCATATGGATGCTCCACCCCTAACGGGGACCCCGGGCTCTCCCCTCCTTGCAGCACCCCCCGTCTCTGCGTGGGTCCCCAGGACCCGCGGCCCAGCCCGTCCTCACCCCCCACGGGCGCCGCATTCCGGGAAAGGGGGGAAGTGATTCACTCCGGGCGCGATGACTGTCCCTTCCCGCGGGGAGGATGCGCCTGGGAGGTCCCGCCGGCCTTCCCGCGGCGGCCGCGCCCGCCCTCGCGTCCAGCTCCCGGTTCGACCCCGCGGCGCGGCGGATCCCTCCGGGCCCGGAGCCGAGCGGCGGCGGAAGAAGGCGAGCGCGCCCCGGCGGCCTCCACCTGCCGCGGCCGCGCGCGCCCCGGAGGTCCGGCCCCCGCCCCGCCCCCCGCTCTTTGTTGCAGCTCCGCTTCCTGTTTGCGGCCGCGGACCGGGGCTCATTTCCCGGGCCGGGAAGCCGCCGAAGGCCGCCAGTTTCTCGCAGGCTCCCCCGCCCTCTGGCCCCGCCTCCCGCACCCCCAATCCCGCTTCCCGCCGCCCGGGAGCCGCTCCCGCCGCCCGCGCTAGAGGGCGCTGCGGGCCGCCGGCCCCCGGGCGGGGTCAGCCTGCTCGGCCCTGGGCCCGTGGAGCCAGCCGGGAGAGGGGCAGCTGGACACACATTCAGTTTTCTTACCTCCTCCTCCCCCTCCTCCAACCTCTCCTCCTCCCCCTCCCCACCCCTCTCCCCTTCCCCTTCCCTTCTCCTCCCCTCCCCCTCCCTTCTCCTCCTCCTGTCATGCGGCAGGACTCCCTGAAAGGGACTGTGTTCTCTTTCTTATCCTCCTTTTTTGTAAAAAATATTCTTAATGATTTCAAAGAGGAAGAGAGAGAGAGACATCAATGATAAGAGAGAATCATTGATCAGCCTCTCCAGCTTGCCGCCTCTTGGGGATGGAGCCCGCAAGCCGGGCATGTGCCTTTGTCCGAAATTGAATCCAGGGACCCTTCAGTCCGCAGGCTGACGCTCTATCCGCTGAGCCAGACCGGCTGGGCATGAATTCAGTTTTCCCCTGATGGTGCAGAGTTCCCTCCAGGCTCCGCACCCCAGCAGAGGGAATATGCCAGAGAGAGCGCAGTGGGAGGCTTTCCCCTCAATATGCCTCAGCGTGTCCAGAGGCCAGGCTCTTTCGCATACTCTGACCTGGCACAGCAGCCAGCTCCCTCCGGCCTCCTGGGCCCGGCCAGTCTGCAGTCCGCCTGCCTTCTCTCCTCCAACATCCTGAGTGGGAGGAGATGGGGATGGATGGTGGACAGGGCACCGGGTTTGAGTCCGGAGGCTGAAGCTCCGTCACACCACCTGTCATTGCCAGGTGACTTGGGACAAGTCCCTCCTTCATTCCGTCCACACTGTTTGAGCCCCTTTATATGCCAGGCATTAGTGGTTAAATATGGTCACTGCCCAGGGACGCCAGCCATCTCTAGTTAATTATCTGTAACCTCTCAGAGGATGGTAACACATCTGGCACATTACTATGAGGTTGAAATGATTAGGGCAGTGGTCGGCAAACTGCGGCTGGCAAGCCACAGGCGGCTCTTTGGCCCCTTGAGTTTTTAGCGAAGGCCAGCTTAGGAGTACCCTAATTAAGTTAAAAACAATGTACCTACCTATAAAGTTGAAGTTTAAAAATTTTGGCTCTCAAAAGAAATTTCAATC